ACGGGCTGTGTGTGCGCGTGTGTCTGTGTCTGTGTCTGTTGCTCAGTTACACCGTTCTTCACTGTCACAAGTGTTAACCGTGTGGCTAAGCTCTTTAGCTCGATTTGATTCAAGGTAGCAATCGGTGCCAGTGAGCATGCGAGTGTGAATGCATGTGTGCGCGCATGTGTAAGTACGCGCGCACGCGTGTCAGTCAGATGTGCAGGCCCAGGTTGAACGGTGTTTTCCAACCGCTGCTGTGTTGAAGGTTTGAGCGCAAAAACAAAGCAGTACTGCAGTAGTACTGTAGTATTCTCAACAGCTGTCACTCATACTTGTTATTATTATTATTATTGTCAGTAATTTAAACACGTACTACTACATAATATCGGATATAACTAGGGTGAGTGTAGTTTGTTTTTTTTGGTAGCGGTGGCAGATGATGAGTTAATGTGATGATGTGACGTAGATACTGTAGTAGTTGACAATGTTTATCGTCGTTTATATTTACATACACATGAATGCAGAAATGTAGTGGTGTTGTGTTTGTAAACAAACTAACTAACTAACTTAGTAACTAACTTAGTAAGTTCTCTTGCCGTTAAACTGCGTCCTGTTCCAGACTCATCTGAATGAGTCGGTCGTCACGACACGCGGCTCTTCTAACGTAAAGCAGAAAATACTCGGCGGTGACTGACGTGTTTAGCTGCACTCACGCTACAGTGTTTTTGTTGCATTTCTGCCACCTACTGTTTTTATATCGCCACTACACATTTATATTTAGAAGAAAAAATAATTACAGAGGGCAGTGTAACCGCGGTCCGTTCCTTGAGGCCAAGCGGTTAAAGGAACAGGCCTCTCATCAAAGGACTGCTGGTTTGAATCCCATCTCGTGGACATGTGTCATAAAGCCATTGACTTGTTCAGTAATTCTACTGTTTAAATGTTAGGAAATCCTAACATACGTGACAACTGTTGTATAAGGTATACTGATATCTCTGTTGTAGATGTCAGTATATCTTGACCTTTGACCTTTGTCCAGGTCGGTCAACAACTGTGGAGCGACTGCTGTGATGGAACAGTAAAGACCGAGGTCCAGTTTGGCTGTTGCTGTTTTCAATTTTTCTTTCCTTAAACAAAAACAAAATTTGAATTTTGAACATCACTACAAACCTTCACTGCTGTCAACTCAGATATTTAAATTTCCATTCTTAGAATGTTTTTTTTTTCCGTAATGTTTCTCTATTTGTGCTGTAATTTTCCATAATTTGAGTTTATTATATTTGAGTGATTATCTGGTCTCAGATTTTTTTTAAAATAACTTTTAACCTTGGCTTTGTTCTTAGTCATGAAACTTTCTTCATTTGTCTTTTTTTTCCCTCTTTTCTTTTTTATTTGTAGAATCTAAAATTTTAACCACAGTTCATCAAAATCCCAGCTGAAGACTAAAGACTGTAGAACAGATTTTTTCACAGAGTAACGTTCTCCTCTTCCTGCTGTCGTTGGTTCCAGGGGGGAGAACGTGGTGTTCCTCTCACAGCTGTCCGTCCGTCAGACTGAGTGGCCTGTGACGGCGATGCCCAGTAGAATATCCTGGGATTGAACCGAGGATCCCTTTACACCGATGGCCTGGACTGAGTGAGTGTGTCTGTGGCTCTGTCTGTGACTGACATCAGATGAAACGTCTCAGGACGACACATGACGACTTCCTGTGTCTGTTTTGAATCTGGAGCAGGTTTCAGCTGAGCCGCTGAAGCTATGGGGAGCTGCTGGAGCTGTCTCTACAGAGACCCCCTCCGAGACAACCACCTCACCAAGTTTAAGGTGAGAAATCCTCAATAAACTACTTTTTATTTTTTTTCCCAGAGAATTTTGTACACTTTGGCATGGGCAAACTACGGCCCGGGGGCCCGGATGCGGCCCGTTAGGCTTTTTAATTCGGCCCACTAAAATTGTCCAAATTGTATTATTAATTTATATTATCATTATATTTCTGCTTTTTTTCCCTGCAATGCCCACATTTCCCCATTTAGTGGTGTAGAAAATGCTAAAAACATTTTAGCATTTAGCCTTTTTGCATGACTTTGACATGTTATTTATCTTAGTTCACACTTATTTCCTGACCCATTGTAGCCCACGAGTGAAAAAGTTTGCCCCCGTCTATTAACCCCCCCTTGTGGCCCACGAGTGATAAAGTTTGCCCCCGACTGTGTTAGCCACTCCGTAGTTTCCTGTGTCAGATCTGGACGGAGGCAGGACGGCGGTTAGCGGCTATAAACACCTGACTCTGTGTGTGTGTGTGTGTGTGTGTGTGTGTGTCTCAGGTCACCAATGTGGATGACGAGGGAAACGAGCTGGGCTCCGGCGTCATGGAGCTCACGCAGACCGAGCTCATTCTACACACACGCAAGAGGGACGCCATCCGGTGGCCATATCTGTGCCTGCGCCGCTACGGCTACGACTCCAACTTGTTTTCCTTTGAGAGCGGACGCCGCTGTCAGACCGGGCAGGGTATGTCAGAAAACATGACACCGTCGGCGACCGACCGTGACCGACCGACTGTGACCGACCGTGACGTCCTGTTGTTTATGTTGTTCCTTCACGACGTTAGGAATCTTCGCCTTCAAATGTTCCCGGGCAGAAGAGATCTTCAACCTGCTGCAGGAGCTGATGCAGTGTAACAGCATCAACGTGGTGGAAGAGTCCATGATGATGAGCCGCAGCGGTCACACACCGGAGATGGAGATGTCCCGGACGCCGCAGACGCCCAACAGTGAGTCACACACACACACACACACACACACACCAACATGATGCTTCATATTTATATGTACATGTGAGTGCGTCTCACCTGCTTAGTGAATACGACTGTCATGTGAAACAGCTCCTCCTAGTGGCCAGTTCTTCAAAGAAACTTAGTCTCTTCAAAGAAACTTTTTCTGGAACGAACAAGATAAAAAAAATGAGAAGGAGATTCTGAATTCCATAATGTATAATCATTTTAAATACAATATTTTATGACATTACACACTTTTGTCATTAACTGTTATTATTAATTATATTAATTAAAATCTCTGCTTGTTACAGGAGAAAATACTAAGTTTGTGTTTTAATCAGTCGTCACTTCGTCTCTGTTTTAACCAAGGCTTCAAAGAAGTTATTGTGACATTTGAAGTGTTCAGGGAAAAAAAAAAAGTTAAAAATTAAAACTCAACAACCAGAAAATAATAAAGCTGAAGTCATTTCCCCATTCTACTTCCTTAAGATGTTAATTTTTTACAGGGCTCTGTGGTCATTTATTCACTCAGATGAACCTGTGAGTTCGTATTAGTCAGCGCTGAATCAATATTAAAAAAAATCCTTAATCTGTGCCTTTATATTTTACGTCTAGCCCCAGCATTTCCTGTTCAGGCTTTTCCCAATGGTTACCCCGGTTACCCCATCAGAGGGGACTCCTCACAGCCCCCTCTTGGTGATGACCACGGACACGGCCTCATGGGTTTGGAGGACCAGGTAAGACCTGATCCTGCTGGGTCACAGCTGCTGGGTCACAGTTCCTTACTTGAACTCTTTTTGTTTTTAACCCCTCCCTCTTCGCCCCCCCCCAGACCCACACTTATGTGAATACTGTCAGCATGGAGGGGGATCTGTCCATGCGTCACTGTGTGCACTCCCTGCCTGAGGTGCGTCCCACCACCTTCCCAGAGAACACGCGGGGCGCCATGCCGGTCGTGGGCCAAGGGAACCCGGCGCCCAGCCTGCGCTGCTGTCCGCTGGAGGAGCATAAAGACGCTCAGGTGTTCCTGCAACCCTCCACGCAGGAGGTCAAATTCAGGCTGGGTCCCACTCCGGCACAGCGCCATCTGCTGGAGAGGGAGAGGGAAAGGGAACGGCTCGGCCACAATCCACACAACCTTCAGCCAGTAGAGGGCGCCACAGGCTCAGAGACGGAGGGAGACGAGCCGTCCGTGCACCGGTGCAACTCTCACTCCTACCACCATTTCCACCACCACCCTCACCCTCGCCACCCGGGTCACAAGCACCCGGACGGCTGCGAGAGCGGGGAGCTCACCTACGAGAACATCAACGGCCTGAGGGGGGGGCGGAAGCAGCGGCTGAGCCCCAGCAGCGTGTCGCAGTCCGTGGGCTCCAGCAGCAGCAGCAGCACGGGGGAGAGTCACTCCCACTCCCTGCTGCACACCCACGGCCCCGCCTCGCTGCCCCTGCAGGGCTACCCCTGCGACAGGAGCCTGGGCGGGGGTCACCGTCGGACGACTCTGCTCAACTACGAGAACCTGCCCTCGCTGCCCCCCGTGTGGGAGTACAGGGCTCTGCAGCGGGACGACGAGCAGGAAGAGGAAGACGACGAGCAGGATGAAGAGGAGTACGAAGAAGACGAGGAGGACTTCGACGAGTACGAGTTCTCAGAAGGTCCGGGGACGCCCAACGGGTACCACCAGGACAGTCGGGGCGTCCACAGAGACGCCCTGCAGAACTATGTCAACACAGAGCAGGTCCAGCCCCGGCTGCCCCACGCCTGCCCCCCGCATCCACGACAGTGCCAGCCGGACCGAGGGGGGGGCATCTTTAGCTTTGATTTTGGCAGGCGGTCAAGGGCAGGGGTGGGGGGCTGCGAGCACGGCCACATGCCCCCCTCACGGCAGCTGAATTACATCCAGGTGGACCTGGAGGGCGAGGCTCCCTGCCAAGCCCTCAGCAGCGGGGGGGCCCAGCCCCAGCCCACCCAGCACCAGCGCCTGCCACCTAACAAGTGTGGAGCACAGGCCCCCCGCCGCAGTGAATGCTACGCCGTCATTGACCTGAAGAAGACGGCCGCCATGTCCAACCTGCAGAAAGCCCTCCCCAGGGATGACGGGACGTCCAGAAAGACTCGCCACAACAGCACAGACCTGCCTCTGTAACCGCGTCTGGACCCAGGAGGAACCGCCGCCACAGACGAAGGCTTTTCCTCACCTTAGCACACTGGACCCTTCACTGTCATCCATCCATCCATCCGACTGTCGGGCCGACTGATACACAACAGGTACCTAATTAGAAACTCACTGGCGCCCACCTGTGGATAAACAAGGAAGCGGGGAAAACTCTGAGTTTGAGTTTTCCCTTTAATTCTGTCAGTTCTTAGACAAACAGTGTGTGGGTTTTTAAAAACAAACAAAACAAAAAAACAAAAACACTGTTTGCAGGATGAGTTCAAATTCATAAAGAAGCATAAAATCACACATATATCCGAGAATCAAAATGTCTACGATTTTCTTGCTTAACTTTGACTCTGTTTTGTGTTGACGTATTTATTACCAGACTGTATTCCAACAAATTGATTCCCTGAAACCATAGTTACTCATTACATTACATTACATACAGGGATGTCCGATAATATCGGCCGACGATGTTAGCGTAATTATGTAATATCCAAAAGAATCGTTATCAGTTTTTCCTCCGATAATGGAAACTGGATAAGGCAATGCCTGGGTTTGGCCAAATGATGTGTGACCTAAAAATAGATTTTGGGAAAAATAGGCTGTATGTGAAAGTGAAAGCCACTAGATGGCAGCATTGCAGCTCATTTCTATTTTAATAATCAAGGGAATGTACGTAGAATACTGGTTTACAGCAAATCATACACTGGTTTGTCCAGATAAATAAATAAATACTACCACGCCCTTAATAGTATTTTAATAATTTTGACCCCTAGGGGGAGCATGGCATAAAATAATTGAGAAACACTGCTTTAACCCATCACCTTGGTGAGCAGGCTGCACTTAACTTCCTTGACCACCAGGGCTCCACTGCCCTCTATATTGGTGTCAGTTGATATCTGAATTGGGAATTAAGTGTTTGGACGATATCGGATATCGGCAAAAAGCTAATATCGGACATCCCTGATTACATATCATGTTATGTTTTTTTTTTTCCTTTATCAAAGTCAGAAACAGGGCCTTTTACTCCCGGAGGTGGAAAATGTTGATGTTAAAATGTCGATGCTTCTTCATACCTCATCGCAGCTAGCTCTAAACACGTGGCCAGTACCGGAGGCTAACCTTGTTGTTTGTTGTCGTACGCCGACTGAGCATTTTGCACACAATCCTATGGAATTGTATTTTATCAAATATTGGGGAAAAGTTTTCAGCCTGACTTTAGTTCGCGGTGAACACAGTCGACAGGAGAAGAAGAAGAAGGGAATAGTTGATAAAGTAGCACACGTGGATTCAACCAGTGGAGGGCGCCCTTCTGTTCACAGACACTGAAGATATAGTGTGCAGGAATTATTTTGTGGAGTTTTGTCCTCCTGCTGGATGTGCTGTGTAATGACGACTCCAACACTACAGACAAACGACACAACGTTCTGATCCTTTCACCAGACAAACATTTTTATTTTTACTGATTTGAGACTAAGTCATGCTCAGCTAACCCTATTCTGCCAACCCACGGCTTCCCGCTGCCTCTGGGTTTTAGGCAGCTGGGGCACTTCGATGTTCAATACCGCCACCTTGTGGCTATTTTATTTTTTTCTCTTATGGGGGCGGTCACTATAGTGTATTTTCTGTGACATGTTAAATTTTTTAATAATTCAATGTTTTTTTTAATTCAGGATTTTCCTGCATACTATACCTTTAAACATAAAAAAGTAGCATTTCGTCGTAACATATCCTGCGATTTCACCCCTGACCTGCATACAGATATATATATATATATATATACGCTTGTCACGTTGCACTTTCGAGCCTAGGCCACTAGGAGGCGCTCTTTCTCCACTTTCTCTCCTGCTCTGAGGCCAAGCCCTTCCTGGACTTTGTCAGTCAGCCTTGTAGCTGAGGTTCTTCTCACTGTTTGGATGAAGATGCTGAAAAAAAAAACAACCCTCCAACGGTGGCGTCACGGTGTTCCCCGACATCAGAGGGTTCTGTGGGTTCTGTTGTCGTGCAGTCGACAGTAGTTTCAGAGGCTACTTATCAACCGCCTGAATCACATGTTTATTTATTTATTTATTCAGTCTGATGATTATTTATTCCAATTTTCTTTTCTTTTTTTTCTCACTGTGATTCCTTCGTTTTTCATGAGACAACCAGCCTTTTGTAATCCAGTCGGTCGGTTAAAGACAGAGACCAAAGTTTCACCTCAAATGATCACTGGAAACTGGTGTGTTACTGTTATAACTGTGCGTGATTATATTTTTTAAGAAAAAGAGAGAGAGACTGTATTTATATCAAGTGCCAAAACGTAATTACTAACTGTACGATGATTCAAATCAAATGTGCCATTAGGATCTGCCGGGACAGAAAAGGGCATCAGGGCAACTGCTACGGGTGGACGGGGGGGCAGGGAGGGAGGGAGGGGGGGCACAAACGCCCCGATCGGACATTTTTAAGGATGATAGTATTTTAGGAAGTAATGAAAACTGCACATTCCACCTCATCTGCATCCACGGCCATTTCAGAGTGAGACGACGAGATATGTCATTTTGTTGGGGATGTCCGATAATATCGGCCGATCCGATATTAGCATAATTATGTAACATCTGTAAGATGTTCTCGTTGTCGTTTTTTTCCTCCGATAATGAAAACCCGATAACGCAATGCCTGGGTTTCTCCAAATGATGTGTGTGACCTGAAAATAGTTTTAGGGGAAAAACGGCTGTATATGAAATTGAATGCCACTAGATGGCAGCATTGCAGCTTATTTTAATAATCAGGGGATTGTATGGAGAATGCTGGTGTCAGCGACTCACACAGTGGTTTGAACAGATAAATACATAAATATTTCCAGGCCTGGATCGGTATCTGTTGATATCGGGATCGGAGATTAAGTTGTTCGGACAATATCGGCCTAGTATCGGATATCGGCAAAGAGTTAATATCGGACATCCCTCGTCTGATAATCACAGAGGAGGGTTTTATTGCTGCTACGTGTAAATACTAACAGTAGCCGACGCAGGAACTCGTTCTGCAACAAGACGTGACGTCAGACCTTTGACCGTGTTGTTTATAGAAGTAGCACCGTGTGTGTGTGTGTGTGTTTCCACCGTCAGTGTGTAATTGGGCCAAAGTTACTTCTCACTCAGATTGTTGTTCTAAGGAGAGGGGCGTGGGTGGGGTGTGTGACGGAAGCACAGGCCCGCGGACGCCGTCGTCTCATGGTACTTTTTTTTTTGTTTTGTTTTGGTTTTTTTTTGTTGAATCTCGAGTCACGTTGGTTGATTTTTCCGGCGGCAGCAGATAAAGGTTGTCATCACGTTGGTTGATTTTTCCGGCGGCAACAGATACAGGTCGAAATGTTCTAGACTCAGACACAGGCCTTCAAACGCAGCGGAGTGTGTGTGTGTGGTCTTTTCGCTGATTTATTTCTTTTATTTTTGTTGTTATCATACGGAGGTCGTCGAGTGAAGAGTGAGAGACAAATCACCGACTTCTGATCAGTGCGATGTTTGGGCTTCTGTGCAACTAACGATGCAAATGAAACTGAAATGCAAACGACGGAAAACACAGACCAGGACAGAGACGACGTGTTTTCACTGTAAAAACCTGTTTGTTTGTCGACGTGTTTTCACTGTAAAAACCTGTTGTTGTTTTTTTTCCTCTGGATTGTTGTGTCCTAGACATGACCGAGAGGAGGCGTTCAGGAGGAGGAGCCGTTATTGTTGTGATTGTGATGAAGGACAGAACCCTCTCTGCCTGAAGAGAATCTGTTTTAATTGAATAGAGTTTTGTTGAAATTGAACAGACTTTGACGGGATGTACGAGGATCGGAAGGAATTTTTTTTCCACATCGTTGTTTCTTCAAATCCTCATTTTGTTTTTGTTCTAATTCCTTAAAATAACCATCTCAGTCCAGCTGATACGGATCATACAAATTCAGTCCAGCCCTTTCCTGAAACAGAAGCCGAAATAACCCAAGAATCTGACAGTTGCTGCTTCTGTTTGTGCCAAAATGTCAAAAAGGCCAAATCCTGACCGTGTGTGTGCCGACGTTTTGACTGAAATGGTCGCGAGGGATGTTTACATTTTTTGCAATAATAGTTCATTGTTTTCGTTGATCGGAATCAGACCGGTGTGTAAAGGTGTAAGATTTAAAAAAAAAAAAAAAAAAAGTAGAGCTGTGAAACCACAGTCTTATTATTTGAAGTACATTGTTTTGTTTGTTTTTTTTTTGTTTTTTTTTGTTTCAATCGTCACAGTGTAGTTGAAGTCATGAAATTTAAAAATAAGGAGAAGAAGGAGAACAATGTTCCCGTGTGGACGGTTGGACTCGGTGTTTGCTCTGACTCACGGTCACAGTGCCATACAGGAGGTCGTGTTTGCCAGTGTATTAAGCTTTTACACAGCAGTACTGAGGCTTAGTGTGTGTGTGTTTTTTAAAGGGGAATATTTTTATTCCCTCTTAAACCAGTAGATGGCGATCACAGCGTCATGAAGAGCTGCTGCTGTCTTTAAATCAAATTTAATGTCTGTCTTTAAGTCATGATTGTTCTGTTATGATTCATAACATCACATGATCATGATCCCCCCGCCATGACTTCTCATAACTGTCAGTGTTAACACTGGAACAGAGTGATTCACACAACAGGTGACTGTAAAAAAAAAAAAAAAACAGTTAACATGGAGCGTTAGCCCTAAATCTAAAATCTTTACTCCTGTCACCGAGTTCCCCAAAGCTAGCTCCTCACGATGCTCGCGCTGCGTGTCTCCTCTGTCAACGTTAGCATCCGAAGCAGCTCCAGAGTCCATGTGAGGTAACGTCTCGGCGTGTCTTTTCAGACGTTTCCACTGATGTGAAGTGAGGGAGGTTTG